ATACTGTCTGGAGGAATACATAGAAAAGATCTAGAATTAGAAAGTGGTAACAGTGTTTACTTCTGTGAAGGAGGAGGAGGCAGGCTAGGGGTATATTCAAAGCAGACTTTAGCTGTAGCTGTAGTGTTTTAATTTTTAACGAGGATAATGTCTTCATGTTTTACTTGTGAAATTAAATATTAATTCAAATTGAAGAGGGCCTGATGAGCATCTGGCAGCAGGTTGCAGCCCTGGTCTTATGTCTCTATGGACCAACACCTCCGAGACAAGACTACCAGGAGTAGATGCAATTTCTTTGTCTTCCAGAAGCCTCTCAGACCAAAGGCCACACCTTCTTGAAGGTTGCGTTGTCTGTCAGGATCTCTCTGTTCCTATCTTCCCTGACCAGTGTTGGAGGGTTTCTTTTTTTAGAGACAGGGTATCGCTCTGTCACTCAGGCTACAGTGCAGTGGCTTTGTCATATCTCACTGCAGTCTCAAATTCCTGGGCTCAAGTGAGTGTCCTTCCTAAGCCTCCTAAGTAGGAGTAGGACAACAGGTATACGCCAGTACACCTGGCTAAATTTTTGTAGAAATGGAGTTTCACAATGTTGCTCAGGCAGACCTTGAACTTCTGGCTTCAAGTAATCCTCCTGCTCTGACCTCCCAAATTGCTGAGATTACAGCCATGAGCCACGGCTCCCAGGCAGAGTTTCCTTTATTACCAGCAGGTATTTATTGAACATAGATAGCTGTTTAGCAATGAAGAATTAAAAAGTGATTAAAATGCAGCATCTCTTCAGAGCTAATTTACTAATCACAAATAGAAAGCTGGTTGCCAGATAGTGGAGAGATGAGGTGGACACCTTCTCGCCTTTACCAACCAATCAAAGCTGACATCATGAACACTCTATCTCCTCTGGCAAGAGGCACTAAGGCCACTTTAGTGGCATTCTGGCCCCAATATACAACCAAAATCTAATCATGAAGCATTACGTAAGCCTAGGGACATTCTCCAAAACAACTAGACTGAACTCTTAAAAATTTTAATTCAGGGCTTGGCACCTGTGGCTCAAGTGGCTAAGGC